CCCTTTCTGCTTCTCTAGGTCACCTTATGGAGGAACTGAGAGTGCTGGTTAATTTGGGTTTTGGTTTGTCTGCTTGCTCGCTTGGCTTTTTGTTCTTGGGTAAGGGATTTGTGTCCCGGCTCCCCTCAGTCGCTAGCACCTCCATCCTGCCAGCCCGTGTCCAGACCACGTTAGTTTGGTTACTGCTGCTGTTTCTTACAGCTAAAGGTTATTGCATCCATCTTTAGTCAAGAAAGGCGATTCATTAGCATAGTTCTGCCTGCGGAGAGCAAGCGGCTTCGTGATCTGGCGCTAAGTAGCAGTCGGCCCGTGGCTCCCCATCTCCGCTTTGAAGTTCATTGTCTGTGTCGGCGATGGTGCTGGACAGCAGAGGGGTGGCTTTCTCCCTCTCCTCTCAGGCCTCCCTGCCCCTCTGTGCCATTTTTCATCTTGACTCACCATGCCTGTAACTCCTGTCCTGTGACAAGTATCGATCACTGATTAAGCCATCAAGCCATGGGCAACAACTTTAAATGTTTAGCACCAGGCCACGCGTTATCTTCTTCAGCATCTGAGAGTTCTGTCCTGGCACAGAGCAGCCAGCAAAGGCCCTTCCCACATCTCACCCTTGTGTGCAGGGTGTGCCCGGAAAACAGGGGGATGAGAACCTGGGAAGCCAAATCTTGTTCACAAGGCTGCTCCACTTTGTGTAAATAAAACTTTAACATGCATTCGAAGAAATGTTGATGTTGTGTCTGTGTGTATGTGTGTGTCTATGTCTGTGTCTCTGTGTGTACATATGTGTGTCTTTGTGTCTCTCTGTGTGTGACTGTGGCTGGGTGTGCTTTGTGTTTGCATGTGTGTCTATGTGTATATGCATGTGTGTGTTTGTCTGTACATGTGTGTGTGTATGGCTATGTGTGGATGTATGTGTGTGTGGCTGTGTGTAGGTATGAATGTGTGGGTGGATGTGTGTATAAATGTATATGTGTATATGCATATATGTGTATATCTTTGTCTGTGACTGTGTGTGTGGCTGTGTTTGTGCCTGTGTGTATGTGTGTTTATGTGTATAGTGTGTGTATGTGTCTGTCTTTGTGTGTGTGTGTATGTGTCTATCTTTAGTGTGTGTGTGTGTTTGCATGGACTCATCTGAAGGTTACAGTTCAGGAGTTGGGTCTCTCCTTCTACCTTGTTTTGAGGTAGGGTCTCTCTTGTTTCTGTGGCTGTGCTGCATAACCAAGCTGGTTCTGTCTCTACCCACCTCCCCCTCCCCCTCATTGTAGAGGTGCTGGGATTACACACAGAGGTACTGCATCAGGCTTTCTTACCAGCTCTTCTGGGGATTGAACTTGGGTCATCAGGCTTCCTCAGCAAGACTGAGCCATCTCCCCAGTCCCACATTGCTCTTTAAGCAAACCATTAGCGTTTTCATTCTTGGAAGGGCCAGCGTGAACCCAGGCTCAGCCGTCACTTCTCTGTCAGAGTATAACTAGACCCCCACCAAACGGCTTACCCCCTCTTCTTATGCCACTGGAGGTGGGTACATCCTAGCTCAGGGCTCTGTCTTTGCATCTCTCCAGGAAGTCACTACCCTTTGTGGGAGCAGTCACTCAGGCTACCTGGGCTGCCCCCTTTCAAGATGACACACCTGCATAGATACTGGCAGGAAGCCTGGGCTCTTCACCAGAGAGTTGTCCTTGTCCATGCTCCTGAAGTGTCTGTCAGTCTCCACGCTCCTGGTGTGTCTGTCCTCAGAGATCAGTCTCACCTCCCCGCAGAGACAGAGCACAGAGGGGAAGCAGGGGAGGAACTAGTGCTGGCTCTGATCTTGCCCTCCCCCAGTGTCTGCCTCCTCTCTTCGGGAGCTGTGAATCCCTCCTCCTGGCCCCCGGGCAGAGGAGGGCAGAGGCCCAGCACTCACACCAATTAGCAGACATATTTCATGTCCTCCCGGTTGACCTTTTCTCCTCAAATGGTTTCCACTTCTTTCTCCATGCAAAAGGTGCTCACCCCTCCTGCCCAGAGCCCCCGAAAATACACAGTGTGATGGTGTCGGTCGGAGTCCAGGACTCAGGATCCAGCCTGCCAAGAGGGAAGAGGTTCTCAGCAAGGGTTCAGTTCCTTTTCACCTGACAACCAAGTGCTGGACCTTCACAGAACCAGCTCACAGCACAGGTCAGGCATGGGACAAGGACAGCAAGTACCCACTGTTCCCTTGCCTAGCATGGCAGGATGTCTTCCGTGCCTCCCACGTGAGTGAACGGAGGAGAGGACAGGTCAAATGAGACCCAGGGTCAATTCACACTAGTCACCATCCCATCCCTCCAGCGTCACCTCCCAATCTGTCACTCTCATCAGTGTGACTCAGTTTATGCTCTTCTCCATCCTTGACACAGGGCATTTAGTGCAAGCCTTTCCCTTTCCCGTTCTCACTTCCGGCCATCAAATAACAAAGATATTCTGATCTTCCTCCTAACTCCTCCGAGCCTCGACTCATGTGGGTGTGCATACGGGGAGCGTGAGACATCCATCACCCTGCCACACGTGAACTCCGATGGGTGGTGACATCAACGTGAGTACCAGGCAAGAAGCTGGCATTTCAGCTCACAGCGACTGGCTCCAGAAATATCTCCAAAGTGACTTAGACCATCAGGGACCACACGTGCAAGCATGACGTCACCTCCCCTTTAAGCCACAGTCTTCTTGTCTGTCTTGCCTCAGGCTGTGGATGGGTGGGTCCCAGGGGCTGCTAGAGCTAAGCCACGGGAGTAGATTCCTGTCTTGGGCTAGCTTACACTGCTCTGATTTCTCATCCCCTTCCACTCTTCGAATTCATCTTCTGGGCTTCCAGCTTGACCTTTGGGTAGGGTGGGCTGATAAATAATAACGGGGTGGTGATAGACGCAGCCAGGTCATACCAAGTACCTGGGGACTGAAGCCCTGTTGTTGGCTGGGCTCCCCCGAAGCTGGTGTTTTTACCTATAGTAGTACCTCAGGCCACAAGCAGGAGATTTGAGTGGGTAAATGTTTGTTTGGCTCATGGTTCTGGAGGCTGGGACATTGGTATGGAAAGGTGAAGTCATCCTCTAGGAAAAGCCAGTGTTATCCCAAGGGCTCCTGACAACCAGAGGGGCCACACCCAGACTATGCTCAGTAAGGTGGTATCTGGGGAACAGCTCCCCTCAAGGCCTTTCTGTGCAGGTTGGGAAGGGGAGGGTATAAGTAGGATGGGGGCATACTCAGACCACACAGGAGAGTTGCCTAAAAGGGGCAGGGAGACATCAAGGCTGAGCAGAGGGCACAGAGGAAATCTCGGCCAGCACAGTAGTGCTTGGGGCCACAGAAACAGACTTCTCTGTAAACACCAGACCTGGGTCAGAGAAGACTTTGTCAACCCCAGGACTTTTGATTTGATTTGATTTGCACAGACCTGTATCCAAAATGCCAAACCCATGGACAGGGACTGTCAGGGGACCCAGAATGCAGGTCCTCACCCTTGCACATTGACCCCTGTTCATTCGGAAATGGGATGTTCCTGCTAAGGGAGGCAGTAGCTACAGTAAGGAAGCCAGCTTCTGAGGAATGGTTTTAGGGGTGTCCCAGCTTGAGGGATCCAGCTCTTCTTTCCCTCCTAACCTATCTCAGACCCCAGATCTCAGCAGCCCCGCAGGATGTGTACCTGGCTCAGCCAATCGGCTGTTCCCACCGTCAACTTTACTGTGGGATCCTGAGCAAGCTGATGGGTGAGATGGGACATCTGGTGGCTAAAGGCCCTAGCTTCTCAGCGTGACGATCCCGCCAGGAAAGGCGAACAAGCGTGGACCAGAAGGCTGCCAGGGAGGAATGGCAGGTTCAGCAGACAGGTAAGAATTAGCTGCCACGGTAATTGTCACCTCAGTGACGCGGAGCTATGGAATAATTCCCTCCTGATGAAAAGGAGGCCCGGGCACTGTTAACTCAGCCCCTCAAGTGGGTGGAAGCTGGGAGCCGAAGTGTTCTTTAGGGAAATGACAAGGGAGCCCTCAATCTCGGCCCAATCAGCTATTTTCCTGGGATGACGCAGCTACACCTCCTGGTAAGTTCAAGGGAACTGGGTCAGAGTCACCTACAGGGGAGCCACTTCTGAAATGTGGGGGCCATTTGATTTTGGGAAGTCATGGATAATTGGCTGTTGTAAGAGCTGGTTTTGCTCCTGAAGCTGTGGGGACCCTGCATTCCTTTTCAAGTGGTGGAGCTAAGCCTCCATCCCGAAGCCGCTCGGGACAGGGAGAGGCTACACCTCCCTCTTGGGGTATAAAAGGCAGCAGGCAGGACCTGGGCCATAGGGAGATCCCGCTGGGCTAGGACAGGTGTGGGCTCTGTGGGCTCCAGCCCTGGGTCTACCCCACCTCCTCTGCACTTCCCCAGGCCAGCTTGCTCAGAGATGCCATCAGCATCACTGTTTCACTTCCAGGAGCCACTTTCTCGTCCTGGGGGCTCCTCCAGCCGTTTGTGCACCTGGTGGCCAAGCAAATGTCACCCTACTTAATGCCCTAGGCCAGCTCATCGCTGGCGGCCACCTGAAAAGTGATGTGGTCCTCTTAGGTCCTGCTGATCGCTCAGGCTCAGGTGGCATCGAGGCCACTCCCACTTTGGCTCACTGTCATGTAATCCATCCTACAGAGGAGACGACTGCCCTGGGGGACATTAAGAGTCAGGCTGCCCAGATTCCAATACCAACCCGCAAAGCAACATGGGATAGATACCCAGACATTCTGGGAGTGTGGTCAATCCATTTTCTCAGGGTCCTTGACCACGGCTTCCCTGAGGCTCCCCATGCCTGGTTAGAACTGTTCACAGTGAACCACCATTGGCCCACCAAACCTCACAAAATGCTCAACGTGAGACCGTCTTCTCTCCTTTAACTCACAGAGAAGCCAAGGTCTACAGGGGTCCCCAGCTCTACTGTAGAGGACAGGGACCCTGCCTCAGGGTAGCACACATCCTGAAAGGGCCCTTTTTCCCTCATCCCAGTGGGACTAGGACCCTAGGGACAAGCAGTCACAAAGGTCACAAAGAGTGTGAAAGAGTCATGTGTGGCTCTGTAGCCATCAAAGAGGGCGTCTTCAAGTGGTGACATCTAAAATGGGTGTAGAAAGACAGGCAGGACTCCAGCAAGGGGAGCTGGGTGCAGCTGGCTCCTGGGAACCATCAGGGCAAGGGCAGAAGGCCAGTCTGATCTACATGGTGAAAGCCTGCCCAAAACAAAGCAAAAGAAAACACCCAAGGGAGACCCAGGACCCGCCATTACCATGCCCCTGTGGAAGCCCCAAGGCTGGGGAGCTGGAGTAGGGGTAGGAGGTATCACTGGCTCTCTAGGCCTCCAGTGCCTCCAGCTGGAGGAGAGCCCAGCGGCTGAGGTAGAGCTTCCCCTACCCGGGGCCAACAGAAGGCGAAGCAGATCCCCGCCGTCGTCGTCCATGATTTTCTCACGTTCCCAGCAGCTCGGGTGCAGCTGCAGCAGGTGGGCGGGTGCAGAGGGTGGCTTTTCAAGCCATCCCAGGCTTTCTCCCTCTTTTAGAGGAACCTGGAGCACGAGAGATGACAGCCAGATGACGTCCGTCCCTCTCTCAGGCCTGGTGCGGCCTTTCTTCTGGTAAAAGTTTCCAGCTAAAAATATCTACCTTCCCCCCAAGGCTGGCCTCCTCAGTGAAGCTGCTAGCTTCCTCTGTGGGTCCTGCATGGAGACTGCTGGTGGGCTTTCCTGTATCAGGAATCTTCCTAGGCCACTAGCCTGTTGCATGCAACGGTGTGAAGACCAGTAGACAATCAGAGGCTAAGAGGAGTGTTGTAGCAAGGTTGAGCTGGGGGACAGAGGGTGGCCAACAACTCATGACCAGGGAGGAGCCCTGCCTTTCCTTTAGAAGGCAAGACCCAGCTCTGAATAGCCGTGCCCCGGGTGCTGGCAGAATCCTACCCCCACACCCGGCCCCCGAGGATAAGAAGGCCACCAAGACAATGGACAGATAACAAAACCTCTGAGCTGGGGACATGACCAACATGCACTAGCTGAAATATGGATAAAAGCAGGGGCAACCAGGGACCCCAGCTCCTTCTCTCTTCTCTGAGGTAGCCACCTCCTCTCCATCTTCCCCTTCTCTGACTGTTGAGCCTCTCAGAGGCTCAAGGAGGCCACGCCAGCCAGAGGGAGGATGGCCATATTCGTGCAGCAAGCCCTCGCAGCCTGAGACTGGAGTCTGGGGAGGCAGAAGTGGAAGAAGGTTGCATCTGCCAGGTCCTATTGGCTGACGCAGAACCAAGCACACTCAGATTGAAGAAGAGGTGATTTAGACTCCTCTTTTCCTAGGCAGAAGTTAGAACCTATGATCATGGCTATTTCACAGTTGGTACCTGAAGAGGTGGCCTGTGCCTGCTGTCCCATCTCTTGAGAGCTGGAGGAAGGAGGATCACAAGTTCAAGGTCATCTGCAACACAGTGCATTTGAGGCTAACGGGGGGGGGGGGGGGGGATTCCCACAGTGCTGAGCTCCAGCCTCAAAGATGCTCTGCCATGGGGCACATGGTTTACCAAAGTTGCTATGAGAACAGGACAGTTTAGACCTTAAAAAGATTTCTATGGACCAGACTAGAAGTGACCCATTGCTCCCCTGGGCTTTTCACAGACAGACAGACCCAGCATGGGGCTATACCAAGCTGAATGTCTGGAAATATAATGACTGTGTGCTAAACCAAAGGGGAAGAGGGACAAGCATACGCAGCCCACCAGTTCCTCTCTGAAGGTTGAGGCAAGGAGAAGATAGCTCCACCAAGGACATCTTAGCCCCACCTGCAGCCTGTGTGCTTGCTGTGGGACAAAGGTCTTTTATCCTGTCACTTGTATTATTTTTAATAAAATGCTGATTGACAAGTAGCCAGGCAGGAAGAATAGGCGGGACAATGGCAACGAGGCAGGAAGTAGAGGCGGGGCAACAGAATTCTGGGAAGAGGGAAATTCAGCCTGCAGTCATGACCCAGACACAGAGGAAGCAAGATGTGACTGCCTTGCTGAAAAAGGTACCAAGCCACGTGGCTACCACAGATGAGAATATGGACTAATATAAGATATAAGTTATAAGAGTTAATACGAAGCCTGAGATACTAGGCCAATCAGTTTAATCAGTTTATTATTAATGTAGACCTCTGTGTGATTTCTTTGGGACTTAATGACTGTGGGAACCGGGCAGGACAGAAAACTCAGCCAACATGTGCACCTCCCTTGCTCCAGGCACACGAGAGTACACAGGATAACTAACCTAGGAATGCGTAACACCTGAGGGCTCTGCTCCAGTTTCTTTGTCCAGCAAACTTAGGAGTCCAGACGTGGCTCTCACAGCTCTCCACTGGTCACCCTCGTGGGGACAAGGAGTGCCCAGGAACCCAATGCTCAATGGCCACGAAGATGGTGAGGTGGTTTGAATGAAAATGCCCATGGGCTTCTAGCGAGCGGTGGTATTTGAAAGTATTAGAATGTGGCCTTGTAGGTGTGGTCCCGTTGGAGGAAATGTGTCACTGGGGATGGATGGGTTTTGGGATTTCAAGTGTCCAAGGCAAACCCAGTGGCTCTCTCTCTTCCTGCTGCCTGTTAATCCAGATGCAGAACTCTTAGCTCCTTCTCCAGCACCGTGTTTGCCTGTGCGCTGCCATGCTTCCTGCCATGATGAAAATGGACTAAACCTCTAAACTGTAAGCCAGCCCCAATTAAATGTTTTCCTTTGTAGGCATTGCTGTGGTCATGGTCTCTTCATAGCAATAGAATCCCGATTAAGACAGAGGTCTAGTGTGAAGCTTTGCTTTGTTTTGCTTTTATGTGTATGAGTGCTTTTCTTCATGTATGTTTATGCACCATGTACCTGGTGACTGCAGAGGACAGAGCAGGGTGTCAGATGCCCTGAAACTGGAGTTATGGGTGGTCATGAGAAACCATGTGGGTTCTGGGAATCAAACTTGTATCCTCTGGAAGAACAGCCAGTGCTCTTAACCCCTGAGTCATATCTCCAGGCCCCAGCCAGTGCCCTTAATCTCTGCCTATCTCTCCAGCCCCTGGTGTCAAGTCTTGCTGAGAACAGTTGGAGTCTAAACCAAGTATATGGAGATGAGGCACAAAGGGGCATGGCAGGGCTTGCGGCTCTGAGAAGCTACTGGGAGAGAAGCTGGAAGCTGGCAGGATCCTCTGGAGAAGGGACAAAGAAGTGAAAGCAACAGGAGGCTCAGGAGATGCAGCAGGCTGGTAAAGCTGGGATGGCATGTCACAGCCTCTGAGCTAGAGAACCCTGGCCCTGGACTTTCTGCCTGCCAAGGAGACCCAACCCCACCCCTCTATCTCCTGTCACAGACTGACAAGAGAAAGATGTAGACATTTTGTGGTTCTGTGCGGGAGTCCTGGTAAGCAAGCAGATGCCAAAGAAACAGCTGGAGTGGGATGTTTACATGCTGGCCAAGAGACAGGGCAGCAGAGAATAAGAATGTATGGGCCAGGGGGGTGTGACCAGGCCACCAGTTGGGGAACTGACCCAGAAGACAAAGGCTGGTCTGACTGGGTTTGTCTGTGCCTCCGCTCTCAGTCTCCGATGATTTTATTTTGTTTTTATTCTAGACACAGGGTCTTACTTTGCAGACACAACCTCCCTTCCCTGTCACAACTGTCCAGAGCAAACAGGCGCTCCTGCCCTGCTGGTGCCCCAGCAGCATGGTCCAGATCTTCACCAGAGCCTGGTGGACAGGAGCAAGGGCAGCGGGAGTAGGCCTGGTCATGGGGGCACGATCAAGGGCAGCTGTGACGATGCCCTGGGTGGCAGTACTGACCAGTGCCATGGGGAGTGAGCGGTGACAATGGCTTGGCATCCTTACTGATGCAGAACTGCAGTTGGGGACCCTTTCTTCTGTCTTCACAGGCTCCACACCCACAGCCAGGTCCTCTGGCCTCTGGAGATCTCAGAAGCCCCAACACCTGGCTGGCGACTTCATTTTCTGCTTAAGTCGACTGGAAGCAATTTGCTTTGCTTACAAAGAAGAGCCCATCGGTTGCCGGCATCCCTGGTGGTGCTCCCCAGAGGACGCCCAAGCAATAAAATGCGCTGTAAAGTTCTTTTAGTAAGTTCTTTTGAAAAATTATCGCGTAAATAATACATGTTCACTATTTTCAAGTGCAAGAAATAAAGAGAAACACAAAGAAGAAATAAAAATATCTCATAATCACAACACCCAGAGATGAGAGTTTCTGCTTTGCAGCAGACCCTTCCAGCACAGAAGAGGCTGTCATTTATTTATTTATTTATTTATTTATTTATTTGTTTGTTTATTAAGAAGAGTTTGTCTGGGAACTGGCTGAGTTGCAGGTTTGCCTAACATACACAAAGCCTTGGGCTCCATCCCAACACCACATAAACACCTGGGTGTGATGGCACACACGCCTGCAGTCCCCAGCACTTAGGAGGTAGAGGTGGGAGGTTAGAAGTTCAAGGTCACCCTCAGTCACATTGCAAGTTCAAGGCCAGCCTGGGCTATGTAAGATCCTGTTTTTAAAAAAATGGAGGGCCTGAAGAGATGGTTCAGTGGTTAGGATTGTGTACTGCTGCTGCAGAGGATCTGCTTGCTTCTCAGCATTCATACAGGCAGCGGACAACCACCTGTAGCTCCAGATAGAGGAGGACCAAGGCTCTCTGTCTTTGTCAGCCTCTCTCTCTCTCTCCTTCCCTCCCTACCTTCCTTCCTCCCCCCCCCCCAAATAAATAAATAAATCTTAAAAATGCAGGGGCAGTGAGGAAACAAAACTGATTGTTGAGGCTGCAGAGACGGCCCCGCAGTGGAGAGCTCCGGCTGCAGAGGACCCAGGTTAGGTCCCCAGCGTCCTCTCTTGGATTCACAGTCATTTGTAACTCCTGTCTCAAGGGATCTGATGCCTCTTCTGATCTCTGAGGACACCAGGCACACACATAGTGCACATATGTACATGCAGATATCTATACACATTAAATTAAATTTATTTTTTTTAAAGATTTATTTATTTATACAGTATCCTGCCTGTAGGCCAGAAGAGGGCACCAGATCTCATTATAGGTGGTTGTGAGCCACCATGTGGTTGCTGGGAATTGAACTCAGGACCTCTGGAAGAGCAGTCAGTGCTTTTAACCTCCAGCCCTTAAATTTATTTTTTTTAAAAAAAAATATACCACAGGTTTACTTGATATATAAGTTTTTCTATAATTTAATCCCTCAGTGCTTGATTTTATTTTTTCAATCTATTTTTATTTGCTGATCATCATCATCATCATTACTCTGCTTTGGTTTTTAAGACAGTAGCTCATTGCCCTTGAACTCACATGTTTCTGTGGATAACCCTGCACTCCTAATCCTTCTGCCATCGCCTTTAGAAAACTGGGATTGCAGGCCTGTGTCTCCCCCGTCCCCCAGCTTTATTGCTCTATATTTTTTCATTTAACGTTTTGAAGCAAGGTCATACCTCTCACGGGTACTGCAGCACGGGTGTGTGGGTTCACGCGGGTCCATGAAATGAAGACTCTGGAGACACTTTGAGAATGAACTTAGCCTTAACAGCTGCAGGGGTCCCCAGCCTCAGTGGACTGGAACACTTTCCCTTAGACAGGAGCTAATGCTTAATTCAAATTTTTTTAAAGATTTATTTATTTATTATCTATACACTGTTCTGTCTGCATGTAAGCCGGCACACCAGAAGAGAGCATCAGATCTCATTACAGATGGTTGTGAGTCACTATGTGGTTGCTGGGAATTGAACTCAGGACCTTTGAAAGAGCAGGCAGTGCTCTTAACTGCAGAGCCAACTCTCCAACTCGTTAATTTAAGCTTTTTTAAATTTTTCTTTTTTTTTTCCGAGACAGGGTTTCTCTGTAGCTTTTGAGCCTGTCCTGGAACTAGCTCTGTAGACCAGGCTGGCCTGAAACCACAAAGATCCGCCTGCCTCTGCCTCCTGAGTGCTGGGATTAAAGGCGTGCACCACCACCGCCCGGCAAAATTTTATTTCTAAATTACGTGTATGTGAGGCAGGCATGGTGTTGGGCTGTGCATGCGTGAGTGCAGGTTCCTGGAGAGGTCAGAAGAGGCCACTGCACCCCTAGAGCTGGAGCTACAGGAAGTTGAGAGCTGTTCTCAAGACAAGAAGTCTCCCTCTTTCTCCGGTTTTCTAAGAGCTTCCTTCGTGCATAGTGATGGGTAATTCTTCTGCATCTATAGCAATAATCCTGTGACTTCCTCCTCTACTGTGTTGATTGGCTTTTGAATATCAAACCAACCTTGCCTTCCTGAAATGCAGTCCACTCCTACAGGGGAGACCATGGATCACATTTCCCTGAGGACTTTCACAGGGATCCACAATGTTCTTTGCTTCCTTGGCCGTAATGTTCATGCCAGACATTAAGGCCACACCAGCCTCATAAAATGTCTCAGAGACTGTCCCTTCTGCCTACCACTTTAGGATTTGTTAGACTTGAGTGGTTCCCAAAAAGAAATCTGGGCCTGGAATTATCTTTGTCCCATAGTCTGCAGTTTGCGATTTAATTTCTTTGATATACACTGTTTTGGGTGGCAATTTTAGAATTTGTGTTTCTTTGTCTTTTCCAATTAATTTTCAAACAGCTTGGCATAAAGTCCCTGCTCTCCCCTCCCATCTCTTAAAACCTCAGCACTCTGTGGGTAGGCAGGACTCAGGAACTGGAGGTGGGGCCACTTTATAATCTGCATCTGAGCCATGGCAAGGGGCATCATCTGAGTGTGCGCCCGTCTTTGAGTGACATCTGTGTGTATACCCGTCTTTGAGTGACATCTGTGTGCACCTGTCTTTGAGTGGCATCCGAGTGTGTGCCCATCTTCGACACCTCTTGCTCTCTTTGACTCAATCTCATGTCACTCTAAGATGGAACTTTCAAAGGCTGTTTGTGTTGGCACATCACAGGGTGCCCCGGGTCCCTGCCCCAACCCCAGCCAAGGAAAGTCACTGGCAGATTAATTTGAATGAAGATGAATCAATAATTTATGCTGGTGTTTTTCCTTGTGCAGCAAAGTGGCCCGTTTTGATGTGCTCCGACAGGGTCAAGCATACCTTGGTTTAATTAAACCTGATACAGAAAATTAAACAAAGAAGAAAAAAATCCTTCACCAATTGAACCCAAAAGCCTCCATCCAACACTTAATGAAGAGGGATAGGGGATCTGGGAGGGGTGGAGGAGGCTGTAAGAGGAAAGTCCAGCAGCAAATGCTTGTGAGAAATGTAAATATCTTATCAGCCTCTTTTCATTCTGTGGCCTTGAGGAGGCCAGGCTGGCTGAGGTATGAGCTGATGGATGGATATCCTGTCTTCAGGAGGCAGCACCATGTCTAGAAGCCAAGCGTTGAGTAACTCTCCTGGAGAGAGGCAAGGTGCCCAACCCACATGGTCAGAGTGAACACCAGAAGCAGCAGAGACCACTTGTCTCGTCACCTTGAGCAGCACCAAGACCTCAGATGTGAGACCACAATCACAGTAAGCCCTCCTAAGTCCTCCCTCCAGGCTCTCTGCAACGTCAGACTTCTGTCAATCAACCCTCAGCAACCCAACACCCCAGCCCTAGGCCTTCTCTCTGTACCCAAGACCACATAGTCACCAACATATTCATGGTTCCTAAAACATGTGGAACTCCTTCACTGTTGCCGTGGTAACCATATGCTGCAAATCCCAGACTGAATCCCTTTTACTCACTTAGGGAGATGTGGAAACTGAGTCACATAGTGAGACTGAAGCTGTATTCCAAAGCCTGCTGGGTAATAGCCCTGGTCACAGACAGGTCTAGGCTGTCTCTATCCTGTCCTGGACCACCAAGCAATCCCCACCAATCAAAGGTGGCTTATAAGCCATGATTCAGTAAGGCAACACTGCCTAGCAACATCGTAACCACTTTAGTTTCCCTAGGTGCCCTCTGTGATGTTCTTATGAAGGTGGCCCCCCAAGAAGACACTCCGGTATCACTTTTCCAAGCTGCTTCCTGTAGTGAGGAGGCGAGCAGGCCTGCTTTTCGTCCCACCCAGCTCCTGCACAGATAGCTTTACACCCGAAATAGCAACACACAAATTGTATTCTTTTAAACACTGCCTAGCCCATTAGTTCTAGCCTCTTAATGGCTAATTCTCACATCTTGATTAACCCATTTCCAATAATCTGTGTAGCACCACGAGGTGGTGGCTTACCAGGAAAGAGTCTAGCCTATGTCCGTCTTGGGTCGGAGAAGCATGGCAACTTCCTCACTGCCCTCCCACAATTCTGTTCTGCCTTCCCCACCTACCTATGTTCTGACCTATCAGGCCAAGCAGTTTTCCTTATTAATTAACCAATGAAAGCAACAGATAAATAGAAGACCCTCCTACATCAGCTTCCAAGGGCTCAACCTGGGTCCCTCACTCCTCTGCCTCCCTGCCTTCCTATCAAGGACACCACCTGGGGCTCCACCACTGGGGTACAGTGTGGTGTAGGGGTCAGCCTCCTTTCTCCCTGGCTCCTCCTTTCAGGACAGTGCTCTTTAAAGAGCGGAAGAGAGCCCGGCACTACTGTCGCCCAGACCTACCCACCGGTCTTCTCCACCACCTCTCTGATTCTTTTATTATGCTAACATATGCGTAGCATAAAATTTATCATTTCTGGGGTGTGGTTTGGGTGGCGTGGAGTTCAGAGCCACCCCAGGGCAGCAGCCACTGCCATCCATCTCCATGACACTCCATCCTCCCCAGCAGCCCCCATAAGCACCAGCCCCTCCTTCCAGTTGGCTCTGCTCTGCTCTGTGTTTAAACTTGGCTCTCTCAGGTCCCCTGCCTGGATGGACCCGTCCACGTTTGACCTTTACGGACTGCCTGTTTCTCATTTAACAGAATGTCCACAAGGCTCATCCGTGTTGGAGCATATGTCACCAGGTCTTTCCTTCTCCAGAGTGAGTGACATTCTACCATGTAGATACCCACTTTCACCCTGCCATGGATCTGAGGTGTGTGTGGGCCGCTGCCTCCGGGGATGCATTGATCCTGTGATGGTGGTGGGTGCCCAAGTCCCTGCATCCTTCTTCATCCCCTGCTAGCTGCTCATCCTAGGTCTAGCTGCAGGCTGCATTTAATTTGTTCTATGTATCCATCCGTGTACATATACGTGGGGGTGTGTATGCCCTAGCATATGTGTGGAGATCAGAGGACAATGTTTGGGGGTTGTTTCCCTCCTTCTGCCGTGTGGCCCGGGGATCAGGCTCAGGTTGTCGTTGTTGGCAACCCTCCTCACCTGTCAGGCTGCCTCACTGGCGCTTAGCTGGGCCTTTTCGAGAATCCTCTACCCTGTTTCCTACAAGAGCTGCTCCATTCTCACTCCCCGGACAGAGCCCATGAATTTCAGTTTCTCCACACTCCTGTCAACATTTGAAAGTGTTTTCATTACTTTTTCCCTATTGCCGTGATAAAACACACCACAGAAGCAGCGTGAGGGAGGAAGGCTTGTTCCGACACAGTCTGAGCGGAAGTCAGGGTGGCAGGGCCTGGTCGTGTTGTCTCTAAAATCAGAAAACAGACAGTGACTGCTGTGCTCAACTGGCTTTCTTTTGAAAATATCGCTTGTTTGTTGGTTGGTTTCTCAAGACCTGGTGTCTCTGTGTAACGTCCTGGTTGTCCTGGAACTTGCTTTATAAACCAGGCTGGCCTCGAACTCAGACAGATTCACCTGCCTGCCTCTGCCTCCCAGTGCTGGAGTTAAAGGCCTCCATGGCCAGCTTGTTTGTTTGCTTGTTTATTCATTCATTCATTCATTTGTGTGTGTGTGTGTGTGTGTGTGTGTGTGCGCGCGCGTGCGCACACACAGAAAACAACTTGTGGAAGTCTGTTTTTCCCTCCATCATGTTGGTCCTGGGAATTGAACTCAGGTCACCAGGCTCAGCAACAAGCAATTTTACCCACTGAGTCACCCCAAGGGCCTTGACTTCCCCGTTTTAATGCTATCTAGGGCCTTGTCCTGGAAGTCACCACCCACTTTCTCGGTGATTGTTTAATTTACCTAATAAACATATCCCTCCCAGGCGAGCCGGAGGCTAAACAATTCCTCCTAGGCGAGCCCGGAGGCTTGTCTCTGAGGTGAGTCCAGAGCCTGCCAGGTTGACAACCGTATGGTAACAGTTGTTTTTAATGTCACTCCACCCAATGGGTAATTGCTTTCCTTGTGGCCCCACTGTAACATTCTTTTCCATAAGTCTTTTTTACTAGCTAAAAAAAAAAAAAAAAAAAAAAATGATGTTCTGTTAAATTAGTTAAGAATTCTATGCAATATGTTCTGATTTATTGCTTGAGAGACAGTGGCTCCCTATTTCTCCAGTACTGACGAGATGGTGGGCGGGCATCACCACAGCCGGCTCCTCCACAGCCAGCTCCTCCACAGCCGGCTCCTCCACAGCCGGCTCCACCACAGCCGGCTCCTCCACAGCCGGCTCCTCCACAGCCGGCTCCACCACAGCCGGCTCCTCCACAGCCGGCTCCACCACAGCCGGCTCCACCACAGCCGGCTCCACCACAGCCGGCTCCACCACAGCCGGCTCCACAGCCGGCTCCTCCACAGCCGGCTCCACAGCCGGCTCCTCCACAGCCGGCTCCACCACAGCCGGCTCCTCCACAGCCGGCTCCTCCACAGCCGGCTCCTCCACAGCCGGCTCCTCCACAGCCGGCTCCTCCACAGCCAGCTCCTCCACAGCCGGCTCCTCCACAGCCGGCTCCTCCACAGCCGGCTCCACCACAGCCGGCTCCACAGCCGGCTCCTCCACAGCCGGCTCCACAGCCGGCTCCTCCACAGCCGGCTCCACCACAGCCGGCTCCACCACATTCGGCTCCACAGCCGGCTCCTCCACAGCCGGCTCCACCACATTCGGCTCCACCACATTCGGCTCCACAGCCGGCTCTACCACATTCGGCTCCACAGCCGGCTCCACCACATTCGGCTCCACAGCCGGCTCCACCACAGCCGGCTCCTCCACAGCCAGCTCCTCCACAGCCAGCTCCTCCACAGCCGGCTCCTCCACAGCCAGCTCCTCCACAGCCAGCTCCTCCACAGCCAGCTCCTCCACAGCCGGCTCCACCACAGCCGGCTCCTCCACAGCCGGCTCCACCACAGCCTCCACTCTTCCTAACATCAGTCTCAGTGACTTTCTGTTGCTCACAACATGACGATCTTGGCAGATACGGAAATACAGACCCACAGCTCTCAGGACAGCCGACCACTAGCCCTCCTTTTACCCACTTCCTGGGTTGCTCTCTGACTCACCCTGGCTCCGGTTCTTGCCATGGGCCCTCTATTGCTATGTGCCGTCTCCCAGGCCAGCTCCCAAGAACATCTCCCTGGCACCTGTCCCTCAGTCCTCTTGGGGAACCACTCCGTAGACGCTCTGCCCCAGTTCTCTCCCCTCTCCGGGACCACGGTTTTGCTCAGTGCTCTTTTGGCGCAGACTCACTGCAGCCATACGTTTTCACTTTCTCTAACATGGTTAGCGCTGCCTGTCCTGTCCCACGACAACTACCTCCACCTTACCTGAGCTACTTCCTCGCATTGCCTCTCAACCTTCCCAAGGCTGCGAACCTTTAATTCAGATCCTCATGCGGTGGTGACTCCCAGCCATAAACTGTTTTCGTTGCTCCTTCATAACTGTAATTTTGCTACAGTTCTGAGTCATAACATAAATCTCTGTTTTCTGATGGTCTTAGGGGAACCCTGTGAAAGAATCGTTTGAATCTAAGGGGTCGCGACCCACAGGTTAACCTTTCCTCTCTGCATCAGTTTGTTAAATTCTGTTAAAAGGGAAAAACCTACCGATTGCTGATTGCATTGCCCATGCACTGAATTTGAATGGTAATCAGGGAGAGGCAGTGCCTGCCCAGGACGGCAGCCTTCCTGTCCGGGAGCAGGGACACTTCTGCGTTAGTCTTTCATTTCCTTCAATGATACCGAGGGTGCAAGACTCTCACCTAGCTACACAACTTTTAATGACTTTTAACTCTTGCCGCATTGATACCTGTTAGGAATATTCCTAACACGAGCTCTCTGCTGATGCAAAAATTCCTATCAAGCCAAATTACAACAAGCCAAATTAAAAAATATCCAGGTTTCATGGGATTCCTGTGCTCTTGGATGGCCCGGAGGGGAAACCGGGAAGCGCAAACAAACGCAACCACCACTGGGAGTATAGGAAACCACGTGGAAACTTTCCGGGGGGGGGGGGGGGGGGGGAGAGAAGTTAAAATAGACTGAGGGAGTGAGTGGTCAAGATTTTGGCGGGCTGTCTTGACCCTCCTCTGGGGAGGGGTCAAGGCTTGGCGGGCACAGGGACGGGGCACCCAAAGATGGAGGTCAGAGACCGGGACTTGGGACTTACATTCCAGACTGTTTGTATAAGGGGTAACAGGAAGTTGAGGTGATATTTTGACCAACATTTAGGCCAACATTTCTTAGGAGAAAGAGGCGTTGACTCAAGTCTGGCTACTTCCTGTGGGCATGGACAACATGGGGAAGGGGAGAGCTGGGTGTTGCTGGGTTCATGCTCAGCAATAGGTATACTGTCATCCCGGAGACGTCAGGCATCTGTTCCTTGGGGGAGGTGAGAAGGTAGTGTCTAGGAAAAAAATATTGTTATCACCAAAGATGAGTATGCCAGGATGAGGAGCAGGTAGGCCCTTCATTGTAACATCCTGGAAAACCAGAGGGAGAAAGGTCCTGTCTGCTGGACAGACCAAGTGTCTTGAGCAGGTGCCTGCTTGAGCCTGGAGAAATGGTACCAGCATGGGTGTCCCAAGAGTTTGGCAGCCTAGGTGGTGGTGAGAATTACCATGTGAGGTCCTGTCCTTCGAGGTTCGAGAGACCTAGGAGTCAGCTGTTTGAGGAGTACTCTGTTCCCTGGGGAGAGCGGGGCAGGTTTAGGGGCATTAGGATCCACTGGTGCGGGTGGGGCGGGGCAGGGAGACAACTGTCAGCGTGTGAATGGAGAAGGGACCTCAGAAGGGAGAGATAAGCTAGGTACCCTGCCAGTGGAGGAGTTTGGACTGGGAAGTGATGGTTAAGGAGAAAGGGCCTGCCATAAAGCAGCTCAAAAGGGCTCAGACCCATAGGGGAGCACGGGGTGGCCCTGAGGCAAGTAAAGGCAGTGGGGAGAAGGGAGGGCCAAGATAACCTGAGTTCTATGGAGAGCTTGGTAGTTGTTGTTTGATGAGTCCATTGGCCCTCTCCACCTTTCCCGAGGATTGTGGATGGTAGGGGGTATGGAATTTCCAGGAGCATTGAGAGCTTCTGACATGAGCTCCATGACCCTGAGCCACCACATCTGCTGTTTCCCTGGAGGCCGGAAACCCTTCTATCCATTCTGTAAAAGTGTCCACAAGTATTAAGAGATAACAAAATTTTTTATGAGTAGGCATATGAGTGAAACCAACCTGCCAATCCTCACCCGGCTGGTGTCCATGAAGCTGATGGAGACTGACATATGTGGAGAGCCCCTTGTGGGTTGGCCTGGGCACACGTCTGGCAAGAGGAGTGAACCTGTAAAATATGATCTTGGAGATGGATGAGGTCAAAAAAGGGGCTCCAAGAAGTGGAACAAAGCTTTGGAGCCTATGTGTAAGGTCCGGTGGACGTCTGGAATGATCGACAGTGCCTGGTCTGAGGATGAGATGGTTATTTAAATAGAACCATCCATCCTTTGGTTTTTTTGTGGCCCTGAAGCCAGCTAAGGACCCAGTAAAGATGCTGGGCAAGCAGGTATCACTAAGAAAGAATAAGAGAAAAATTGTCCTGCAAGAATGCAGGGCAGTAGCAAAGTTTTAAGTGGGGAGGAACGGGTCCCATCTACCCCCATAACTGAAATTGGTGAGGGGAACATAAGGCCCAAGTGAGATGTTAGAACAGAATAGGTAGCTCCCATGTCCAAAATAAAAGAAATGGACTTACCTGCTATCTGCAGCTTTTCCCTAGGCTCAGATAGGGTTACAGGATAAACCAAGTCTGGGCAATGTCAATCCTCTGCAATACTGAGAAGTTCAAAGTCTAGCACAGTTTTACTTGCTGATGTTGGTGAGGCTGGGCCTCCATGGTGTGGTATAGAGGACAAGCCCGCATGGAGGCATTGTGATTTCCAGTGTCCAGGTTGCTGGCAGATAGAGCATAAACTCGAAGGAGGCATAGTGCAATATTGTGACACATGACCATTTAGGCCACACTTGAAACAGCTTGCCTGTGAGGTTGACTTAGGCTGGGCTCCATCAGGGTAGAGCCTTGTGGTTGGCTTCCCTTGTCCCCCTTCCTGTGACCTTAGGGCAGCTGCTAAGGCCTGGGCCTGTAGGTTAGCTGCTTGTTGTAGCCTTGACTGTTGGGAAGACTCAGCTGTTTTTTCTCGGGCATTAAAAATTTTAAAGGCCGTTTTCACCAATTCCCATATAAGGGTTTGGGGACCCTCCTCATCCTTTCTTAACTTTATTGAGAAGGATTAGTAGAAAAGGAACCTAGCTGCTTTTCTATCTGAGAGAGATCTGGAAGAGAAAAGGGAACATGAACTTCCATAAGGCCATTGACCCCCGACACCTCCGGGAGAGGACAGAAAAGGGTGGAGATATGGTAGGATCTGGTATGGGAGGAGACTAGGCTAGCCCAGTGCGCAGAGGGAGTCCAAGGGTGGGAAGATGAGGTAGGCTGGGGAGGGATAGAGGAAGGTGGGTGAGGTAGAAGTTGACCTTGAACCTCCGGATTGACAAGGGAGGGGATAGACAGGGAAGGACAGGAGTGTGGAGAATCTTGCTCCACAGGAGGGGGTTGGGTAGTGTGGACTTGAGGGAGTGGGGGAGGGGCCAGTGCCTCTGGCTGCATGGTCCAGCTGGAATTGTATGGGTCCCAATTTTCTGATGACCAGGAATTTGGAGGCGTTGTGGCCTTAGCTACCAAGACCAGTGCCACAAGACACTGGCTACTCAGGGAAGGGCAAGAGCACAGAGCCCAAAAACCATGGACATATGTAAGCTCTGCCCATTTGTTCTGACAAAAATTTTGTAGGTCCTGGAGGACAGTAATTAACCATTCGACTGTTTCAGAAAGCCCCAATTTATAAAGATTTTATAAGAGGCATCCCAGGGCAACAGCGGATCTGGCTTTGAACTGTAAGTGCCCATTTTAAAGTCTATGCCCAACCGCACGGCCTAAGTCTATTACAGTGGGTCTGCTAAAATAGCTCTTAGGCCTAACAGGGTCATAGAACTTGAATGCTAGGCGTCCCTAAGCAAACAAAGTCCATCTCAGCCAGGCCCAGTCTTGTCGGTCTAGCCACTGAAGTGGGAACTCTTGGCACAGGCTCGCGGCTTCCACAGAGTTCCATAATCGGGGCTGGAGAGATGGCTCAGCAGTTAAGAGCACTGACTGCTCTTCCAGAGGACCTGGGTTCAATTCCCAGCACCCACATGGCAGCTCACAACTGTCTGAAAATGCAGTTCCACAAGATCTGACACCTTCACACCAATCCTTCACATCAATGCGCATAAAATGAAGTTAAACAAATCATTAAAAAATTATTTAAAAAAAAAAAGTTCCATAATAGACAAAAGTAAGTACGAATGGGTTCCCCAAGCCCTATAGCATAGACCAAAAAAAAAAAAAAAAAAAAGAGACTCACCAAGACAGCAGTCGCTGTAGCCCAGGAGCCAGTTTTAGCGTGGCGTGGAGAGCTCAGATTGTGGACTAGGAGCCTTTTGATGCATGGCCTATGGCCACACGGAAAGGCCACCCTACCAGTGGAACCTCCAAGATGTTAGAAAATGTCCTAACACGAGCTCTCTGCCAACACGAAAATCCCAATCAAGTCAAATCACAATGAGCCAAATTAAAAAAAATATCCAGGTTTAATGGGATTCCTGTGCTCTTGGGTCTTGGCAGGCTATCTTGACCCTCCTCCGGGGAGGGGTCAGGGCTTGGCAGGCACAGGATGGGTCCCCCAAAGATGGAGGCCAGAGACTGGGATTTAGGATTTAGAATACCTACAGTTAATTCACAAGAACAAAACAATGAGGGGTCTCCAGCTCCACCCACTGCTCCAGAAACAGCTGTTTTCCCAGGGCAGGGGAGTGGGACTGTGGAGGTCGAGAGTTATAGGAAGGAAAGGAGGTT